ATTCCTTACCCAATTCTAGACCAATGAAAAGATTTGTATTATACCACATAATTGAAGGACTTTAGTCAATATGGAAAAGTCATGTTAGAGGACTTACTGAAAATTTTATGTTAATGGAAAGCTCTAGAATGGGTCTTTATAATCCACTCTGATATGTTTTAAGACCAGGTATCATTTTTTTCTCCATTTGTGACTCTTTTTGACATCTACATATTTGACTATACAGGACAATATCAAATAGAGACTAATTTTCTTTTATTTAATATCTATCCCTAAATTTTCTAACATTATAAATATTTATATAGTCTAATAATTTAAAATATTATTATTAAAATTAAATGTAGGTATATGAATGATTTTATAAGTACTAAATTTCACATACATATATACATGTAAGTGTATGTGTGTTTGAATCTGTATCTGTATTCAATTTCAATTCACTCTAAGCCTATTATTTCATAAAAATATAATTCTTAATAATTTTTATCATATTTCATACATAATGTCTACCTTCACAACAGTTTTCTGCATATGTCCTTGTAACATGGACTGACTTATTATTCTTTGTGAAATTTTAAGTTCTATAGAAAATAGAATTACCAAGTTGGATATTGACCTGTGTTTTAGAAAATAAGTGCATTTGCTAAAGAAAACAGAATTATCCATTAAAAGGATACTACATTTAATAAACATCTTCATAAAATTACTGTAGTTGTATTTACACAAATTCCACAGATTTGCTCATCTTAATGTTCTGCTGAGCATCATACTTCTGAGATTTCTTCCTCTGGGGAGTCAGTTCATCACTGGGTTCACTTGATGTGCTCATTCACACTATTCCACTCTCCCTGATTATAGTGGTGAGCCGATAACATAGACAGAGTCAGTTAAATCCTTTGCCCTGAATTTACCTTATTTGAAATACAAGAGTGCACCAGGACTCACATTTCTCAACTGTCTGAAAAAGATATTTTTGAGGAGCAAAGACAAAAAAAGCAATGATTTTGAAGAACCATGGGAGATGGGGGTTCCTAAAAGCAGCAGGTCACCATTCCTCATACTTTCCCTTTAGATGTCCATGTCAGCTCTGCCAATCTATTTGAGTTGGTTTGCCTCATATGGTTTTGTTTTCTTATTCTTTAATTTTATGTTTGGTAGATGTATCCACAATTCTTGATCAGATTATTTTATTGCAATCTAATATATATATATATATATATAAATATATATATATATATATTTATATATATATATATATATATCACTTTTTAAAAATTCAGTGTATGCTCATTGTTGGGAGCTTGAGTTGTACGTGCACAACTGACAGAAAAAGGGAAATATAACCTGAAGATGACAGCCTCCAAGTTGAGACAGACACCTGAGTCTGAATTGTTTGTAATGTGAATCTTCAGTAAGAGAATTAACATTGAATATTATATTTAATGTTTTATTTCTCAAAAAGTCCTCAGACATTAGGTGTGTTTCATATTATGCCTCAAAGATCAAATTAGAAGTTTCCAATATAAATAAATGCTGTTTATAGATGAAAAGCTGCACAGCAGTTATCTCAAAAGACTGTAAAAACAGACATTCTGAATAAATTTCAAGTTAGACCTCTTAAATACTGTTCACGTCTTCATATGTTTCATTCCCTATGAATCAAGAAGAAGGGCTACTCTGAACAAATAATTGGCAATTATGTGTCCACACACTAGAGGCCCAGATCTCAACATTCATACTTCTAAGATTTCAAGATTATAGATTGTGCAAACTGACTGGTAGGTTGAATAGGGAAACTTTTTTTTATATGAGAATATATTCTGTATGAGCAAGACAAGTGAAAGAAAGAGTGAAAAATACCTTCACACAAGTCTTATGAATAAATGTCCTTGAAACATGGACTGACTTATTGTGGTACTATTTACCTCAACTGCTTGGTAATACAGATGAGGAAAAAAAATTATTTTTGTCTCCATATCCCTTTATAACATTGACATATTACAAAAACTGATATGTATTTCTGCAAATAAAACTAATGAGGATTTCTAGACTACTATCATATAAGAATTTCCTATTTACTGAAGAACTGTGGAGTATAATAATACACACCATCATTATGGTTTATAGAATGATGTATACCTGCTTCTGAACCACACTTTGACTGTTGTTTTTATATTTCATTAAGTGTAGCAGAGGAAATGATATCCCAAGAATAACTACATTTTGTGTTGATGGTAGCTGGCTCTAATTTCTAATTTCACATCTTTTTCAAAAAATTGTTCCAAGGGATTTTGGGTATATGTTACTTTATAATACAATACCCAAAACATAATAAATCTTTAATGTATTTTTATTTTTATTTATTCATTGCTTTCTTTTAATTGATTTTATTTTTTAAAATATATGACAGTGGAATGCATTACAATTATTATTACACATATATACCACAATTTTTCATATCTCTGTATATAAAATATGTTGAAACCCATTTTTTGTCTTCATACATGTACTTTGGATAATGAGTCCATCACATTCCACCATCCTTGCTAATGCCCTGCCCCCTCCCTTTCCCTCCCTCTTCCCTATCTAGAATTCATCTATTCTTCCCTACTCCACTATGAGTCAGCCTCCATATATCAGAGAAAACATTCAGCATATTTTTTTTGGGGGGATTGGCTAACTTCACTTAGCATTATCTTCTCTAACTCCATCCATTTACCGGCAAATGCCATGATTTTAGTCTCTTTTATTTCTGAATAAAATTCCATTGTATATATATGCCACATTTTTTTATCCATTCATTTGTTGAAAGACATCTAGGTTGGCTCCACAGTTTAGCTATTGTGAATTGTGCTGCTATAAATATTGATGTGGCTGTGTCTTAATAGTATGCTGTTTTTAAGTCCTTTGAGTATAGTCCAAGGAGAGGGATAGCTGGGTCAAGTGATGGTTCCATTCCCAGATTTCCAAGGAATCTCCATACTGCTTCTTTAATGCATTTTTAAAGATAAATAAATGTATTGCTGACTTTCAATAGTACTGCTTTCTGAACACCTCAGGATCTCTGTTCAGCACAATGACAGATGTTCAGTTGATGGTCTGAGTACATGTACTATATTAATTTTATTCTTCATTCTCTCAGGCTGGATTAGATCCCTCTGGTCTGTGTAGAGTAGAAGAGTAAAGGTGAAATCTACATGAGAGATCTATCTCTTTATCTGAAATGCTTCCAATTTTTATTAATGGAATTTATACAAAAATTTCTTGCAAAGATTTGATAATTTAATAGAATTCAGTGCCTAAAACAAACATACCATCCTAACATTTCAGTCAGAGGACAAACACTGTGCTCAGATACCCCAGTGGATTGTCTTAGATAGAACTTGAATGTAATGTTATTCTACCTCAACTGAGACATTCTAACACTTGGATACTAGAAATGGGCAAAATACAGTTAATTAAAAAAAAGAGAAAAAGAAAGAGGACTAGTGGCACTTCAGGCATGTTTGTGTTTTTATCTGAGCTGAAACTACAATCAGTCATGCAAACCTGATGGTCCTCCCTGGTGATACTTATTTTGAACTTCAATTTGAAAGTGACTGAGTGGAAACTAGAATTCACAGAGAAGAGGACCTGGCTGCCTCCACAGGCAGAGACTACAGGCAGCCAGGTTTCTATTCTAGAGGCTGGTCTTTAGTTTTCCTGTCACTGGATGACTGTATTTGTGGCTGATTTTATGATGTGCCTGCCGGTCTCATATTCTTTAAAACATAACCTTCTAAAGATTAGTGATTTCAGTTTGAAATCTGTGTATCTGCATTTTGACTCTATAAGTAAGGTACACTATATTACTCCTCTATAATAATGAAATAAATTAAAATTACCATTGCAATAACACTTCAGGAATCCACACTTCATGTTATTGCATCAGTTTCAGAGAGAAAAGGGAGTATTCCAATTTTACATAATAATTTTTAAAAGGTAGATTAATGTTTTTGATGTTTGGTTGTTTACTTAGGGGGAAAATTAATGAAATTAATGAACATGCTATTCTCTTGAGAAAGATTCCTTGCAGAATTTCTTCACTACAAAAAATTACTATTATATTATAATTTCACATCTGTAAGTAGATGCCTCCCCAGAGGTCTGAACACATACTCAAAATCACTTCCTGATCAGCTTCAATAGATGCATAATGGATTCTTCAAACTCTGTTTATTAGAAAAAAATAATTCCATAAAAAAACACAAACAAAAAATGCTCAAATCTCTGGATAACATCTGTTCATAGTTTAAATGGCAATTCAGTCTTCTTTAATGGGAAGGATGATGTAAAGAATCCTGATTATTTTGTCACAATAACCAGGTTTCTRTCTCACCTATGTAGTGGTATTTTTTCTCATCTCTAAGTTGAAAATAAATATCAATTGTCGGTTTTGGACACATATTGGAATTTTTCATTCATTAACAAATGTTATCTTAGTTAGAATTATTATCTGTAAATCTGTGAATTGGAAGTTTCAGGGCATAAAATAGTAAAAAATTAATCCTAATCCTCAGAGAATAGATACAGATTCTATACAAAGAAAAAGGAGAATACAGTATCAAAGAAAGTCAAAAAACACACAGATACATTTATAATATAAAGAATAATATGTTCCTATAAAAGAAAAATCCATTTTTACATGATCTATATCTATATATCTCTATATACACACATTTCTGGGAAACACACATATTCATGTATGTACAGGTATGTGCATGGGAGAGTGTATACATTCATATCATGAAACAGCAATTTAGAAAGCACATTACAAATTCATTCTCCAAAATTTATCTTCAGACACTTGATCATAGAATTCATATTCTAGCACCACAAATTGAATCCACACCCCACACTACAACCCTGGAAAATGAAAAGATTTCACAGCATWACCTRTGAATTGTAGCTTCCTCCTTCTATTTGCTGGTATTTGTTGTTGTTTGTTTTTTCTCCCATAGGATTTGTGCATCTGGTTGGAGGATACGGACCTTGCTCTGGGAGAGTGGAAGTGAATTCTGGAGGAGAGTGGATCCCAGTATCTGATGGGAATTTCACATTAGCCACAGCCCAGGTCATCTGTGCAGAGCTGGGCTGTGGCAAGGCTGCATCTGTCCTGGGGAACCTGCCCTTCAGAGAGGACAGTGAACAGATCTGGGCTGAAGAGTTCCAGTGTGAGGGGAAGGAGCCTGAGCTCTGGTTCTGCCCCAGAGTACCCTGTCCTGAAGGCAGCTGCCCCCACAAAGGAGCTGTGCAAGTTGTCTGCTCAGGTGAGACAACAGGACTTTAACCTCCAACCACGCTCTGTGGGGATAATAAAAATATGTGATATTGCTAAACCCTGTCTTCTACCAGGATATACAGATGTTCGGCTCATGAAAAATGGCAGTTCTCAGTGTGAGGGTCAAGTGGAGATGAAGACCTCTGGAGGCTGGAGAACACTCTGTGCCTCCCACTGGAATATGGCCAATGCCAATGTTGTTTGTCGTCAGCTGGGCTGTGGAGTCGCCATCTCCACCCCAAAGGGAGAGTACTTTGTGGAAGGAGGAGATGAGATCTGGAGAGACCGATTTCACTGCTCAGGGTCTGAGTCCTTCCTGTGGAATTGTCCTGTGTCTGCCCTGGGTGTTCCTGCCTGTGCCCATGGAAACACAGCCTCTGTGGTCTGCTCAGGTAAGAGAGGTCAGGGCTGACTGGTACTTGAGTGACTTGTCTCTAAGAGGAGAGAGTATGGAGAGCTGACTTCAAAAATGAGACATTTTGTGGTGAATTGGGATTCTTATTATCATTCCTCTTTCAGCCCTTTCAAGAAATATTAAGAGGATTGGTTTTAAATAGGCATTATAATTTATTGAAATTAATGGATAACACTATATAACAACGAATGACAGCTCTGTCATGTTCCTCACTTTGGACTATTAGAGAGCATCAGCAGCTCCCAGATGTCACCTGCACATCCCTCCAGTCATTGTGCCCTTCTGCCCTCCAAAGAAGACCACTCTAACTTTTGCTGCCAAAGAATTTTTTTTTCCAGGTTTTGAGCTTTATGTAAAATCATGTACCATGTTCCTTGTTGTGTCTACTTTGAATCAACATAACATTTAGAATTCACCTATGCTTTTATTTTTAGCTCGGCCTCATTTATTTTTATTGCTGTAGAGTTTTCTCCTAAATAACCACAGGATCATGTATTGATTCATTCAAATGATATGGAGATTTGAGTATCTGAAATAATGATCCTACATATTACCATGCCAATATTGTTTGGTGCAAATATGAGTATATTAATATACATTTTAATACTTTCTTTTAATTTTTCCTCTCTTAATATTGTCTTCATTTAGGGATCAAATTCTTCTTCTTGATGAAGCACAGTGTATAAATATTTCCCATCCATACACAGAGTGTCCTAAAGTCCTTTTTTTTTTTTTTTTTTTTTTTTTTGGTACTGGGGATTGACCTCAGAAGCACTGGATCACGGGATCACATCCCCAGCCCTGTTTTGAATTTTATTTAGAGACAGGGTCTTACTGAGTTGTTTAGTGCCTCACCATTGCTGAGGCTGGCTTCGAACTTGCAATCCTCCTGTCTCAACCTCCCAAACCACTGAAATTATAGGCGTGCACTAGTGCACTTCTCTCTATTGTCCTTTTAAATATAACTTTACTACCGTAGATTATAAAAATGTTCTCCAATAGTGTCTTATACATCTTTAGTTACTTTTAATTTATATGTAATTTCACAATCTTTCTGGGGTCAGTATTGTATATAGTGTGTGTGATGCTAGAAATGTTTCATATTATTGTTTGGATATCCAATTGACTCAGAATTATTACTGAAAAGGCTTTTCCCCACTGCTGTGTCACCTTTGAAATATACAGGGTATAGATATTTCTGATTCCTGCTATATACTCTATTTGATTTTGTTCTGTCATTTTCTAGGACTGTAGCCATGCATATTCCCTTAGTTATCATAACTTTAGAGCATGTCTGATTAACTTTTTTTAAAGATTTCTTTAAAGTAACTGCTCTAATTGTGTTGTTTTTCCTGCCCAGTGCATTGATCATACTTGATTTTATGCATTTCACATACATATTATAAACAACTTCATGCATTTATCTTTTATTTGTATTTATTTTATTTTATAAATAATTTATTTATTTTTTACTTATATGTGACAGTAGAATGCATTGCAATTCTTATTACACATACAGAGCACAAGTTTTCATATCTCTGGTTGTATACAAAGTATATTCACACCAATTTGTGTCTTCACACATGCACTTTGGATAATCATGATCATCACATTCCACCATCATTTCTAACCCCATGTCCTTTCCCTTCCACTCCAACTCCTCTGCCCAATCTAGAGTTTGTTCCTCCCATGCTCCCTCCCCCTATTCCACTATGAATCAACCTCCTTATGTCAAAGAAAACATTTGGCATTTGTTTTTTTGGATTTGGCTAATTTCACTTAGCATTATCTTTTCTAACTCCATCCATTTACCTGTAAATGCCATGATTTTATTCTCTTTTATTGCTGAGTAATATTCCATTGTGTATATATGCCACATTTTTTTATTCATTCATCTATTGAAGGGCATCTAGTTGGCTCCACAGTTTAGCTTTTGTGAATTGTGCTGCTATAAACATTGCCATGGCTGTGTCCCTGAGTATGCTGTTTTTAAGTCCTTTGGGTAAAGAAGAAGGTGAGGGATAGCTGGGTCAAGTGGATGTGAAGACCTCTGGAGGCTGCAGAACACTCTGTGCCTCCCACTGAAATATGGCCAAAGCCAATGTAGTTTGCCATTAGCTGATCTGTGGTACAGAGGTGAATCTCCAGTACCAAATGGTGGTTCCATTTCCAATTTTCCAAGAAGTCTCCATACTGCTTTCCATATTTACTGCACGAGTTTGCAGCCCCACCAGCAGTGTATGAGTGTACATTTTCCCCACATCCTTGCCAACACTTATTGTTGTTTGTCTTCATAATAGCTGCCATTCCGACTGGAGTGAGATGAAGTCTTAGAGTGGTTTTGATTTGCATTTCTCTAATTGCTAGTGATAATGAACATCTTTTTATATATTTGTTGATTGATTGTATATCATACTCTGAGAAGTGTGTGTTCAGGTCTTTGGTCATTTGTTGATTGGGTTATTTGTTTGTTTGTTTGTTTGTTTGTTTTGTGTCTTTTTCTTGGTGTTTAGATTTTTGAGTTCTTTATACACCCTAGAGATTAGTGCTCTATCTGATGTGTGAGGAGTAAAAACTTGCTCCCAAGAAGTAGGCTCTCTATTCGCCTCACAGATTTTTTTTTTGGCTTTATTTTGCTGAGAAGAAACTTTTTAGTTTGAATCCATCCCATTTATTAATTCTTGATTTTAATTCTTGAGGCAACGGAGTCTTATTAAGGAAGTTGAGACCTAATCCCACATGATGGAGATGAGGGACTACTCTTTCTTCTATTAGAATCAGGGTCTCTGATTGTATTCCTAAGTCCTTGATCCATGTTGAGTTGAGCTTTGTGCATGGTGAGAGATAGGGGTTTGATTTCACTTTGTTGATACATTTAATACAATAAAATCAAGGTGATATTAAATTGAGTTTGGATTTGATCTAAACATCAAAATGGAGCTAGTTGACTTACAATGTATATCTCTAATTTCTTTTAGCAATTATAGAGAATTTTTACTAGTTATACTCTTGGTGTTTTATGTTTTTGATGCTATTAGTGTTTCTTTTAATGAAATATCCTAGTAATTAATTCTGCTAATGTTTTAGATAGTATTTACTTGCTGTGACAAAAAGGTCTTATAAGAACAATTTTAGGAGGTAAAGTTTATATTGATGTTCACAGTTTCAGAGGTCTCAGTCCTTAGACAGCCTACTATATTCCTTTGGCCTCAAGGTAAGGCACAATATCATGGTAGAAGAATGTAACAAGAAAAAACAGGTCAGCAGATGGCCACCAGAAGCAGAAATAGGGAGAACTCTGCTCAACAAGGACAACTTATAAACCCAAAGACACATACCCAGGCACCTACCTCATCAAACCACAGCCTACAATTACCTCCCAGTTAAAACTATCAGAGGATTAATGTGCTGATTGGGTTAAGGCTCTCATAACATACATCTCACTTTTAAACTTTCTTACACTGTCTCATGCATGAGCTTTTGGGGACACCCAATATCTAAACCATAACAATTAGTTTTCACATTTGGTTATTTGTGGTTTTGTTTTCCTTTTTTCTCCATCATTTATTTTCACTTTTTTAATAATTTGAGAATTCTGAATAAGCTTCAAGGATAAGATAAAATTCCCAGGTAACCTGACAGAGATTCCTCAATGCTATTATTTTTCTATATTCTCGCCTCCTTCTGCCATATTTATCCCTGGATATATAAAATATTTCTGAGTGACTATTAACATTAGGTGGATAAGATGATATGTTCCTTTAATCTTCCAATATTTTCAAGATTTTTTTAGATAACCACAATGTCATTGCCAAATTCCATAAATTAACTCTCTTGTCTTCTGTGTATGATGAAGAACATGTGGTACTTGTCTTTCTGTGTTTGGGTAATGCACTTAACATGATGTCCTACAATTTCATCCATTTGATGCAAAAAGTAGAACTTCATTCTTTTTTATGGCTGTATTTATATCACATTTTCTTTATGAATTTCTCTTTCATTATGCACCTGATTCCTATGGTAGAATTACCTGATTCCATATGGTAGCTATTGTGAATAGTGCCACAATAAACATGGAAATGTATGATTGCTGTTTCACAGTGATGTAATTGTCCTGGTTGCTATTGCTTTTTAATGCATTATTCCCACCCCATCACCTCCCAAAATAGCAACACAAATAAAAATATTTTGTTTTGCCCATAGTTTCAAGATTCATAAATTTAGCAAGGATTCTTGGCAGTTGCCTCTTATGGTCTCTCATGAGGTTACACTTGGATCTCATCTGCAGCTCAGGTCATTGTAGACTTGACCAAGCTGGGAATCCAGGACAGTTCATTCACATGGCTGGTAGCTTGAAGTTCAACTGGGGCTGCTGACAGAACAACCTTCAAATGCTCTCTCCCACATAATAGTTTCTACAGAGTAGATTTCCCATTAAAAAAACATCCTACTAAGTCAAGAGGAGGAGGCAGGACTTTTGTAGGAAGGTTCTCAAGTCAAGCTGTGCTGGCTTCACCACATTCTGTTGTTATAGACAACTTACTACTGTTAGCCCAGATTGGAGGGCAGGAGGAATGGACTGTACAGGTCAATAGAACTTGACACAGATTTTGTGGGTATTTTCAAAAACTAAAATTGTATTAAATATCTCACTTTGTTTATTTTCTAATTTGTATTTTTGTGCGATCAACTATGGCTTTAATACCTAAAACTTGAAGAGTATTTAGGATGGTAGGTTTTCTCACTATTGCTCTTAGTATCCTATTATATTCCTTATGTGTTTGTCTTTCTGTTCTTCACTCTGTATTTTTCCACTTCTTTTCCATTTTGGGTTWACCTACAGTGTTGTTAGACTCATCCTCTGGTTTCTTATTTTTAGCTACTGACTTTGTATTGGTTCTTTTAAATTTTATTGACTCTCAGTCATTTATTTGATTTTTGTTATCATTTCTCTAACACTATGCCCATATTGTCATTTATTTATTCATGACTATTTGAATTACCTATAAGGTAATTCACCAATACTGCTCTCTTAATATGTTTTCTTTTTTTCTACTTTTTTCATTTTATTTTATTCATAAACTCTTTAATATGTGCGGTTGTTTGTTTTTCTTTCTTTTGACAAACATTGTATTTGAAAAAGCAACTATCCTACAAAAACTTCAAAAAAGATTTTATTTAACTTCTTCAGTTCACATTATTTCAGGTAGATCACCTTATTCAAAAAGAATTGAAGTGTTGAGATACTGGGCACCATATCTCTTACAAAAATTCTTTTACAAAATATGATACATTTTCCAGTTGTTTAATATGATTCTTCCTCTTTGGCCCAACCTAAATTTTACTTGTGTACTCCAGTAAAAAACTGGCAAACATGCTGAGATTTTCAGAGTCTCACCTACTACCATTGAATGGTCAAATGCCTCCAGGGAAAAATCACTGATTCTAATTTTTACTTTTCTCTGAACTTGACTCCTAAGTCTTGCTTCCCTGGGAACTATGAAATACTTTCCAACAGCACTGCTGTATTCACACTTTGCTAATGTCATTCCTGGGACTGTAGAAGATTTACACTTCATTTAACTAAGAGAAAAGTGTGTTAGAAGCAGAAGCAGAATCCTTGAATAGAAGATAGGAAATTACTGATTGTGGGCTATAGTTTTCAGATTTCATCACTGGATGATTGTCAAGTTTAAATCAATTTTCTGCTTCTAACCCCTTTGGTAGGAAACCAGAAGCAGATGCTACCCCAGTGCAATGACTCCTGGTCAGACCCAGCAGGCTCTGCAGCCTCAGAGGGCCATACTGCCAACTGCTCAGGTGAGCAAGGACCCCAGCACCAGAACCTTCCCAAATCCTGTATAACTGCCCACTGACATGACCCTGTCTCTCCTCAGACAGCAGASAGCTCCGCCTGATGGACGGGGGAAGTCACTGCACAGGGAGAGTGGAGATCCTGCAGCAGGGCTCCTGGGGCTCCATCTGTGATGACAGCTGGGACCTGAGTGATGCCCACGTGGTGTGCAGACAGCTGGGCTGTGGAGTGGCCCTGGAGGCCACCATCTCTGCTCACTTTGGAGAGGGATCAGGGCCCATCTGGCTGGATGAGCTGAACTGCACAGGAGAGGAGACCCATGTGTGGCAGTGCCCTTCCCAGGGCTTGGGGAAGCACAACTGCAGTCACAAGAAGGATGCAGGGGTCATCTGCTCAGGTCTGTTTACAGACTGGGAGGTCTGGGAGGATGTGCAGGATGGTGTCTGAGCATTGTACAGGGGTTGGGACAGGGCAGAGGGGAAGGACAATTCTTGTCCTTCCAAAAGAGAACATGGGGTGTTTCTGTTTTCTGCTGTAGCAGCTGAGCTTCTGCTCCTTCCTTCCCAGCACTGTCCCCTGACACAGTCATTCTCTACAATATCCATTAAAAGTAGTCATCACTCTTCTGTGACCTGTGGGTGCAACATCCTGACCCACTGAATTAGATTTCTATTTCTGCTCTAACAAGTTACCATAGACTGAATGACTCTAAATAACACATATATGTCATCCTATGGTGTGTAGATTAGAATTTTTAACAAGGTCTATATGGGCTACAAACAACATGTGAGCAGGTTGTAACACCTAAAGCTTTGGGAAGACTCATTTTCTTCCTTTTGAAGCATCTAGCATTTGACTGAATTCCGTCTCATGGCTTCTTTTTTCTTCAAAATGACAACAGGGCAATACTCTGATCATCTTTTCATATTCACATCTCCCTATGATGAGCCGCGAAAGAGTCATCTGATTTTGATGATAGACTTCTGGGATATGATTAGATTGCACTCAGCTACTAATCCAGGCTGATCCAGAATAATCCACAAAAGGATCTTTTCTTAATTGTGTCTTAAAAGCACTTTGGCAATGAGGTAAAATATCCACACACTCCCAAGATCAGGCAGTGGACAGTCTGTGCAGCCTGTCCAGGCAGTGGACAGCCTGTCCACTCTGTTCAGCCTCCTTTTCTTGGATCTGTCAGATGGTTTGTCAGGTAGTAAATTAAGTTTCTTTTCCACAGAGCCCCCAGGTCACTGTTCCTCCTGTTCATTTGCTTATATTACATTGTTGTAGAAACAGAAAGAGAGGTACAAGTTAGCAAAACAAGTTAAAGGGACAAAACTTGCAGTCTTCCACCTAGTGGACATTTCTTCAGCAGAGTCAGCCATGAACACTCACTACTTAGGAATAAAGAAAAAAAAAAGCAGCAGTTAGATTTGAATACTCCCTGACCCCTGTTTTCCTCCTCTTGATTTTAGACTTCCTGGCTCTCAGGCTGGTGAGCGAGGACCAGGAGTGTGCTGGGTGGCTGGAGATTTTCTACAACAACACCTGGGGCAGTATATGCCAAAGCCCCATGGAACCTGTGACCTTGTCTCTGATCTGCAGACAGCTTGGCTGTGGGGATACTGGGACTCTGGATTTCTTGGTATCCTCGAGGGAAGGTTCTAGACCCCGCTGGGTGGATGGAATTCACTGTCGAAAAACTGACACCTCTCTCTGGCAGTGTCCTTCTGACCCCTGGAAACATCAATCTTGCTCACCAAAGGAGGAAGCTCATATCACATGTACAGGTGACCGACTGTCTACTTCTATGAGTCTTTCCTATACCTATAGGTTGTTGTCAGGAAAGGTTCATATATTTAAAAATAATGGATGCGTTGAAATAAGTCTACAACATGAATCCTGGTTAGAGATTACTTGACTCACCTGTTGGAATCCTGTTTCAAGGCACATGTGAGAAAACCAGCAAAGATAGCGATTTATATGAAAAGTACCAGATATCGAACTTAGCATATGGGAGCATAAAGTTACACTCTGATGCACATTCTTAGCAATTAGCTAATGCAGTCTTACATTGTATTAATTACTCTGTATTTCCTTAGTGAGATGGTGAATGATTGAATCTCAGTAATATACATTGTTTGCTATGAGTTATCACTTCGTTTCCCACTATTACCACACATAATGAAGATTAATCATCACATTAAAGGCTTGGTAGGCATTATGGTGATCATTTGTTTCAGATGAGGAAAATGAGGTTTGGAGTAAGCACTTCATCTTTCTCACACTTTCAATTAAGTGAATGGCAACTTGGGGAATTCAATACAATGGGCTGTTCATTCTGGAATCCATTACAGCAGTCAGACAACCTCTCAGATTAGTTTGTTGATGATAAGTAATTGGGTGATTTGTAGGTAGAAACAATTCCAGGCAGGAAAAGAGACACATGAAGAACACTCCTGCTCTCATGGAGTTTTCACTAAGCCTGATGACACACACCATGCATGAAGCTTATTGTCACAAAGGCATGGTAGGTGCTGTACAAATACATGCATTGAGGAAGAGAGAAACCATATTTAGGTTGAGAAAGAAAGGAGGAGAAGAGGTGCAATGCAAGAAGAAAGTAGAGCATTTTTTTCAGTGTAATTACTGAGGTAAAAAGAGCATGATGACCTTCAGTTACTGATGCAGTCTCATCCTGAGCAGAGCAGGAGAAGGATGGAGAAGAGCAATGCCTAATTACCTGCATGGGTAAGAAGAGCTCAACACGTCTACCACACATGACCCAATAACGATCTTGTTGAAAAGCTGTTTCTTAGTCTTCTCCTCTGGCACATCATGAGGAAGTGCTATGAGATGAGGGGCCTGGTCTCCCCTCATTTTCTTCTTGAATTGATCTCCTTACAGTGCCAGTGGTCTTGGTTGTTACTGTTCCTCTGAGCCATATGCTACTGCAAACTAAGGTGCCCACTTCCTCCCTGTCTCAGGAAACATTAATGGGGCCTGAAGGAAATTGGTGCCTAATGTCTTCTAACTTCTTACGAACTATAATGTAGGGCTGGAGTTGTGGCTCAGAGGTAGAACACTTGCCTAGCACACACAAGGTTCTGGGTTCAATCTTTAGCACCACATAAAAATAATGAGATAAAATAAAGGTATTGTGTCCAACTACAACTAAAAACTAAATATTTTTTAAAAAAGAACTGTAATGTGTAATGCGTCCTTCCGATTCATGCTCTGATAAAAAACTTTCTAACCTCTAAAAACCATGATTTCCTTATTAGTAGGAGGCTCTGCATTTCCTTTTAAACATGCAATCTTTTTCTGGCCAAATCAGAGAATATTTTTTCATCACCTTTTCATTTCCAACAATTTCTTTCCTTTTTCTCCACATCCAACGACATTAAATTTGCCCCATGAGGTGACACCAGCCACCACTTCTGTTGGTGTCACTCTCCAGCCTGGTCACTCCCCATCATCCAGGAAGGCTGCAGTACCAGGCTCACCAGGCTCCTCTGTCTCCTGTTCCTGGTGCTGCCAGGATCCTTGAACACAACTGAGATAGCATCCTGGGCCTTTCCTTTCCTGATTTTATACCTTTGAAATGCTCCCCCACACCCATCTCCATCTATAGCCACCCTTTTGACTATCACTAACTGCCCAGCTTGGGATCTTGATGGCGTTGTTCACTTCTCTGACTTTTGCTTCTTCTCCTTATCACACATATTCATGATGCACCTTTTCCAGATATTTTATCCTCATGCAGATTCTAAATGTTTTCCCTTATCAGTTTTTCAGTTTTCCACTCTCCTCATGATCATACATGTTCTTTTTACCCTGATTAAATGAAGTAATATACATTATAGTCATCCTCCTTCATTACACCCAACTCCCTAGTCTCTTCTGTAATTCAAAGATAAGAATAGTATTACCTCTCACTTAATCCCATCAGAAGATTAATTCACCAATTGGATTAAGGCTTATGAGAGTCTTAACTCTTATAACCCAATCATTTCTTCCCTAAAACTTTTACATTGTCTTATCAAGAGCTTTTCTGGGCACCTCACATTCAAACCATAACACTCATCAAGGCTTGAGCAGGACTAGGTCATGGTAATATTAAGGGACAACCTCACTCTTATGGCTAGAGGTATAGTTCAGTGGCACAGCACACCCAAAACTGTTCAAGGTTCTTGGCTTCATCACGATTATATATGAGAAAGAAGAAAATGAATAACAGCAGTAGCTACCACAGACACATAAATCAGCTATAAAAATACTATAAAAYATAGTAATAATCAATTAAAATCAATAACAACTAAAGGATAAATATAGAATGAACAAGAAAGTAAATTAATAAAAGGAAAAATAATTCAAAAAGGAAGAAACTCATAGAGAAGAAGAAAAAATAACAAGAAAATCATTTTATATAAAAAGATGAGAAAGAAATTTTCATTTAAAGAATTTTAAAATGCATCAAATATATTCTAATAAGGTAAATATATTAATGTAGATATTTAAAAAATTAAAAAAAAAACGTAAAAATACTCCCAGACAAAAATTTTTGTAAAAAATTCTCCCAGACAAAATCCTTGCATACAGACACCTCTTTCCTGGTCATTTAGAACCTCTTTCCTGGTTATTTAACATATGAATCCAGCAGGTGTCACTGCCGGGTTCAGGGGTCACTCTAGGAAAACTGGGCTGACTAGGCTGCGCAAAAATAACCACACAAGAGACACAAATACCTTTTTCTTTGGGGTCTCTGTGATGGCTCCTCTGACCTTAAGGGTCCTCAGGAAGAGAGAGAGTGAGAGCATGTGCTGACCCCTTTTATTGATGAGAAGCTATTCAAATGAGGCAAGGGGTCAGGTTTCAAGGGCCTGAATCTATCTTCATGATGTCCACTGTCAGCAAGTTGACTGACACCTGGGTAGGCCACACCCAAGGGCACAGTAAGAGAAGGGGACACACACAAGGCACTTCCATGGAAGATTCTATCCTAAACAGGGCAAGGGGTTATATTACCAAGGAACAGGTGAGCATAGCTTCACCCATGGGGCTGTAGCAAGACACAGCCATACTGGAGACACCAAACCTCAAACCCAAGAAGGGTAGGAAAGCTCTGCCACATTTCTGCGACTGAGTGCCTCAGCACCCAGCTGCGGAGTGTGACTCAGTCACGTGTAAGGTTGGTCTCCCACATGTCCCAAGGCTAAAAAAGAAGCCAACTGTAGCTCCTCTGATTTCCATCATAATGAACTAGGAGCAGGTGTGGTGGAGCACACCTGTAATCCTAGCAGCTCAGGAGGCTGAGACAGGAGAATTGCTAGTTCAAAGCCAGCCTCAGCAACAGCCAGATGAGACACTAAGCAACTCAATGAGATTCTGTCTCTCTATAAAATACAGAATAAGACTGGGGATGTGGCTGAGCAATCAGGTGCCAGTGATTTGTGGACCCACCTGGTGGGCACACACTTGTGCCAGGGACCTAGTGCTCTTGGGGTCTAGCCAAGTGTCCTAGCCAAGGTGAGTCTCTGGAATTCCTGTGAAAAGTGGTGCAAGCAATCAAACTACTGAGCAGGAATGGAGTGAATCATCAGATTTGATCTCTGAGCTTTCAATCCAGGCCTCTCTGTGCAGCCACATGAGGTTGGAATCACTTCTTTTCACATAGAGAAGGACCACGTGTCAATGAGGCTTCTAGTCCTTTCTCTGCCGCTCAGTGTGTTTGTGGAAGTCAGTCTTCCTATCTGAGACTGTAAGTGTTCACATCTTCCATCCAGCTTTTGTGAGGGATTACCAAAGGACCTGTGTATTACAATGAATCCATTTTATAATTCCAGCACAGTTTTGCCCCTACAATAGTACCCTTCTCAAGATGGTCCCCAGTTATAACATTCTGAGAGCTTGCTGAGCAATGTGATAAATTTATTCTCAAAATCTGTCTTGTTATATGGAAGGTGTCCATCTCAGAACAACAACCCAAATTTGATCTAAAACTTGTGTAAGAACAATGTGTTTCTCCCACAGGTAAGACAGCTGGAGTTGAAGTTGAAAATTGCTTTGTATTTTCTCTGGGCTGCCTAATGCTTCTCCATTTTGTCAACATTTCTCATCATTTCTTCATTGGTTCCCAGTTTTCTTCCTCTTTCTCTTCTCAAAATACATTTTCTCCTGTGTTCTCTGGCTCTTTTCACTCACAGAGTCACAAAAAGTGTACTTCTATTCTGCTTTTGCCTCCTCCTCAAGAACTCCTGGCAGGAAATCTAAGCACAAATTGGATATATTGGGAGGAATAAGTAACATTCTATGATTCCTAGTGGCATTTGGGCAATGTCAGTATCTGATATAATCTATTCAGGGAGGTTGCCCAATCTACCTAAAGTGAACATAAATTTAAAATTTAATATCTATATTTGAAATAGAAAGCCTAGAATCAATAGTGAAATATATTACATTAGCTATGTTTTGTCTTATGATCCATTCACTTTTCAGTCTTAATTCCTGAATAATTTCATTCCCCCCCCCTGGATTCATGGCTGTCACCTGAGACTTCTGATGATCTCATCCCCATTTCCTACCCCATGTGCTCTCATCCTTCCAAATCTCAGACCATGGATAGTCATGTGTATGTGCTTCACAAGAAACCAATTTGGATACTGGCCCATTCCTTCAGAAAAGACACTTTCAGCTAATCAAATTAAGAATCATTCAGAAAAAGATACTTTCAGCTACTCAAAATAGGAATCTTGGCATTTCTCAAATAGTTTTGTCACATCATATGCAGAATTCTACCAACAGCAAGTTTTACTCTGACCAGATCTACTTAATAACTTCTACCTGAGACTACTCACTTGATTATGTTGTGTTTGATTTCATTTCTTATTTTTTCACAATTAATTTTCTCAGGTTATGTTAGAAACTCAGACTTACCTGTTACCCTATTATAATGAATGATTCTATGTCTTGCTCAGTAAGTTCTGCATTCTGAAAGTACATGCTGCCAACTGCTTGGTTGGGAAGGCAGTACCACATGACAAGAGAACCCTTCCCATTCTCTTTTTAAATACAACCATTGACATGATTCTTTCTCTCAGAGAGCCCACAGCTCCGCCTGGTGGATGGTGGCAGTCGCTGTGCAGGCAGAGTGGAGATCATTCACCAGCATTCCTGGGGCACTGTCTGTGATGACAGCTGGGACCTGAATGATGCCCACGTGGTGTGCAGACAACTGGGCTGTGGAGTGGCCTTCAATGCCTTGCTCTATGCACAATTTGGAGAGGGATCTGGACCCATCTGGCTGACAAAGCTGGCGTGCACAGGGAAGGAGGACTATTTGTGGAATTGCCCTGCCCTGGGCTTGGGAAAGAACAACTGTGAGCACTATTATGATGCAGGAGTCATCTGCTCAGGTATGGTCAGTGTATTCTTCACTATCTAAGAGAATGGAAAGTTCCAGAAAGTAGTGCCTTATCTCTGGAGGAATAAGAGGTGAATTGTCCAGAGAGGACTAAGAGGTCTTTTCCTAAATCTGAGGATTCAGGGGTAACAGTGGATGACAGACTTCATTTATTCCTGTCCTATAAATCTCTGATACTGTCCTTTTGCTTCTCAACTTTCTTCTTCACAAGATATTTTTTTTTGTAGACCATTTTAACTTAAAGTCAATTTTCATACTTTTGTTTCTCTAATTTACGGGGCTTTATATAGGATTAAAAATAAATTAGCCCACACACTCTGTTTGCAGAGCTTTTCAAAGGGCAGCCAAGAATGAGGCCCTATTTTTCTCAGTTGAATTGAGTGTTTGTATAAGTATAGTCAGAAATATTTTTGTACTGGGTTAGTGGGTATGTGGGCACAGGGATCAAAGACATTATAAGAGAATTTATGGATTATTGCAAAGTTGCAATTTTTCTTTCCAGATTTAGACATCAGAATTTTTATGTCATTGGCAGGAAGGACCAGAGGTCTGTGATCTCTCACAAAACACCATGTAAACAGTTTTGCACACACCAAACAATTTAATGAGAGAAAATAAACCAGGTGTATGAAAAGAAAAGAAAGCAGATGATTGCCAGCTATTATGATAATAAAAAGAAAAGACACTTCAAAAGAAAGAGTAAAATAAGAGTTATCCTTTACCTTAATCCACGCAGCCCAAAATGAAGAAATATGCATTTTTCTTGGGGAATGGAAAGGTCTAAGTCAACGCCTTAGACTTGAAACTCAGAACTAGGCAGGTGCCCAGTAGATTCCTTGATCCTATGACAGTATAACCATTGACATGATTTTTTTTTCTCTCAGAGAGCCCACAGCTCAGACTGAGACTCTGGAACTGTGTTTAGTTGGGCATCAAAGAGACTGTCTCCACCCTCACTCTTCCAACCTGTCTTGGCAGAAGGAAATCAATACTCTATTGTCTAAGGAGCAGGACATAAGAACAGATGTAGAATTTTGTCTTTGAGCACAATGCTAGGCACATTATGATGATACTCAATACTCAGTAGGAATTAGAGGCCTCAAATGTAGGACAGAGCTCATAGAGAGAGCATGACCCGTGTGCTGTGGGACATACTTAATAAGAGCCTGTGGCTGGTTGCAGGAGTCTTGGGACATGAGTCCACCTTAGCAATAGGCAGCTCATAGCCTTGAGGGCTTTGGTCCCTACACAGGGCTGTGTTACCTTGGCAGGCTGAGGCCTCAGAGTGTGACATATCTTTGCAGCATGGGTGGCCATAGGACCACCCTCCTCACTCCTTCCACAAGCCCCAGGGAGCACACTTTGGAGAGAGTTAAGTCTCTGCTTGGGATTGAAAGTTTAGTTGTGCACCCAAATTTGACCTGGGCCCTAGAGCTCTTGTCATTACACATTATAATACAGCTTTCAAAGATGAAAGATAAAGAGTCTCAAGAAATCAAGATTAAAGACACAAAGAACACATAGGGTGTCCTAATTCATCTGACAATTAGTTTTCCAACAGGAAATATGCAGGCCACAAGKGAGTGCCATGAGATTTTCATAGAACTGAAGAAAAAATTTGCAAATAAAAAAATACAGAACACTTCAAAGCTGTCCTTTATAAACAAAGAAAATACAAAGCTATTATTAGACAACCACCTTCCCCCCAAAATTACCATATAATATAGTAATCACTGCTGAGTATATATCCAAAGGAAATGAAATCAGGATGTTGAAGAGACCTCTGTACTCTCATGTTTATGGAGTACTACTGACAGTAGTTGAAAGGGAAATAATCGAAGTGTCCATTAACTTATATATGAATACAATGAAGTACATTTACATAATGAAATACTCCTTGCCCCTACCCCCCCAAATGAAATCCTTTCATTTGCTGCAGCATGCATATACCTGAAAATCATTAGGTTAAGTGAAATAAGTCAGGCAAAGAAGGACAAGGGTCTTCTAATCTCACTATGTGTGAAACCTGAAAGAGTTGACCTCATAAAAATTTAGTAGTTTAGACTGGAATTGCAATTTCCATAGGCTGGAAAGTGTAAGGGTTAGATATGGAATGATCAATCAGTTATAGGTTTTACTTAGATAGACCAGAAGTTCTTGGGCACCGTTGCACAGTAGAGTGACTATAGATAGCAATAAGAAAACCAATTTCAAAAAGCAAGAAGAGAGAGTATTGGAAATTTTCACAAATGAAAATGAAAAGTGTTTGAGGAAATAAGATAACATAGTGTATATATGTATCATGAATCTATTTACTGCACTACTTGGTATACTATTTATATTTTAGGTATTAGTTGAAACAAGTTTAAAGGAAAAATGGAAAAATGCTATGGGTGACAAGATATGAGGGAAGTTTATATAGTTTATATGTGATGGATTCAGTAATACAAGAGAAGTGAATTGTTAGGTAAATTTGATAAGAATGAGAACAACGGAACATTTTTGTGGAAGATAGAGGAAACTTCCAGGGTCTGGGGGATGGCAACAGAGGATTAACAAAGAGCATATAAGGATTATCTGAGTGCACTTAAGACCCTCATGTAGGGTGGGGAATCTATGTACATTTGTGTGAGTTCTGGACACCCTTGCTGTGTCAAAGAAGAATGATTTGTAAGTGTAACTCAAAGTTGAGGTATTGAGGTCATAATGGGGGAACAAAAGTTCCCATGGATTACACCTTTTTAAGAAACTTGAAACTTTCCCAATGAAGCAATGTATCCTGAAGCAAAGAATCAGACAAGGATAGATCTGACTGCAATCTCTAGTGAGAATGATTCATGTGAATCAATGGACTTCTGCAGATGCCATTTTTCTTTTTTTTCCCCCAACCAGGACTCTCATAAACTTCAAATGGATTGAAGTTGTTTGTTTTTGTTCTCATTATTTCCTTGAAATATTCATGCCCAATACCTAAAAACATTTCTGGAACATGGTAAATTCTAAAAAGGCATTAGTAATTTGGATTAGAAACCATGGAAGCAGATTGTCAGTACTCTCTTCAAATAGCTCTCTCCTATATCAGGTCAAGGTGGAAAGTTTAGATTATGTCTCCTTTGAAAACCACTCTTCCCCATTTTACCCTTTACTGATCACACACATTTTACCCCATTTATGAGCATCCATTGACCTCACTCCTTGTCACCTGCTCTGTCTTTATGGGAAGGTCATGCTGCCTCAATTTCCTGGCTTTCAGAGATGACTGGGAAGCCCAAGAATACAGGGCAAGTTTGGTCTTCAAGGAAGATACTGGGATCTATGTGCACCTCTGCATTGCCTAATACCACATCTGATGGAGACATTCCCATCTACTCAGGTGACACAGTTCTGTGTCATAAAGAGTATAATAAGGTTTTGGAGTGATGGACGAGGAGACAGGTGGATTCAGAAACAAGGCTTATGATCAAAGTCCTGGAGAGTTGCTTAGATGCAGATGAGTCACAGCTACAGGAAAGGTGGAGCAGGAAATCTTGGTCTTATTGGAAGAAAAAAAGGTGTGATCTTAATGAAATGTGTTGGAAATCAACCTGGCCATCTTGCCTCTTTAGTTTACCTGGATAAATTTGAGCCCCAAAGTTCTGATAGTGATGGGAAGTGAAATAGGACATTTCCACAAGGGGAAAGAGCCCTAGTTTTGTAAAATCTGGGATGTGGAGAATTGGGGATCTCGCAGGATCTGGCACAGGTACAGAAAGAGTAGTTTCCTGAAGGCCAGGTTTCTACAACCCTTCTGGGACTTGACTGAAGTGTTTTTGCAAATGAACCCAGTTGGTAAAGTGGAGGCCACCTCTGTGAAATACGAGTAGAGATGCAGCACCAGAGAAAGGCACAGGGTATATCCTCTATGGAGGGGCATGTTGAAGGGGTGTGGGGAGAGTAGGAAAGGAGGGGCATGAGAGCAAGAGGAGCTGTTGCTGAGAGGCATAAATGAGGATATAGTAGACAGGCTGGATGCCAGCTTATCTCTATCTTCTAAAATTTACTTACTCTCCCCAAATTCTGTCTTTTCTGTCAGGACATCTGGATGTAGCGCATGAGCATCTTCAGTGGTATATCATTTTTAGTAATTTTTAACTCATTTAATACTGCCAACAGCATTAATCACTGTGGAGCTTTAAACTTAACCATGAAAAAGGCCTAAACATAAGATTTTGGAGTGATGGATGAGGAGACATCACAAATCAGAAATTCTTCTGATTTTTAATAAAGGAAATTATATAAAAGTTTATTGCAAAGGTTTGATATTCTAATAGAATTCAGTGCCTAAGACAAAGAAACCCCCAACATAAAGTTGAGATATGTAGGATACTAGAGAATTCAGATAGAGAGATTTAGGAAGGGAAATTGAGAATGGATTTAGGATAAATATCATAACACCTCATTTATTTATACAGGAAGCACCTACACCCAGACCTTGCCGAGGAGCTGCCCATCTGTCTGTCCCTACAAGAGAAGCCACCAAAAGACTCTATTTGCCAAACCCTGCACCAGTTCTTTCTGGTGCCAATTCTCCAAGTTTCTTAGGCCACAGAGCAGGACCATTTTCTTTGATTGTTTGTTGTGAGATTTGATGCTTCCCTTTTTGCACTGAAGTGCAAGTGTGTCTCTGTCTCTTCTGATTTATGACACAAAAAGCAAAATTTGTTATCTAGTGTTCAAGATGTAGATGTCAAACCTTAAGGTTTCAAAGTTACTTTATTTTTTTGCTGTTTGCTCTTTGGAGTTTTCATGGAATTTGGTTAATTGTATTAATTCTATATTCAGTAGTTCTTGGTAAAATATCTGTTTTTAAAAAGACAAATAAATGTATTGCTGAGTTTGCAACAATGCTGCCCTCTGAATACCTCAATATTTCTGTTCATAACAATCACACAGGCTCAGTTATGGTCTGAGTACATGTATTGTATGAATTTTACTCTTTCCCCCTCTCAGGCTAAATAGATAAGAAAAATTGTAAATAAAAAATTCAATAAAAAAACAGAGACTGAGAAAAAAGAGTAAAAGAGTAAAGGTGAAACCTACATTGGGTGATCTTTTTTTATCTGAATTTCTTATGATTTTTAATAATTGAAATTATATAAAAGTTTATTGCAAAGGTTTGATATTCCAATGGAATTCAGAAAAAGATACCCTCATAACATTTCAACCAGAGGACATTGCACTCATACCCCAGTGGATTATCTCAGATAAAACTTGGACATAATGTTATTTTATCTCCACTGAGACATTCTAACTTTTGGATGCTACCAATGGGCCAAATATTATTTTTAGAAAGAAAAATAAAAAAGGAGACAGTGCCACTTCAGGCAAGTTTGTATTTCTATCTCAGCTTAAACTGTAATCAGTCATGCAAACCTGGTGGCCCTCTCTGGTGGTGCTGATGTTGACCTTTAATGTGAAGATGGAACTGAGTGGAAACCAGAGTTCACAGAGAAGAAGACCTGGTGAATCCACAGGCAGAGCCTTCAGCCAGTCAGGTTTCTGTTCTGGAGGCTGATCTTTGTTGTTCCTGTCACTGGATAACTGTATTGATGGCTGATTTTATGATGCTCCTGTAGGTCTCATACTGTTTTAAACATAATCTCCTAAAGATTTGTGATTTCAGTTTGGAATTTGTATGTCAGCATTTTTACTCTATTAGAAAGGTACTCTATATTACTCCTCTATAATGATAGAAATTAATATTATAAATGTAGCTACACTTTACTCATTCACACTTCATTTTAACATATCAGCTTCAGAGAGAAAAGGGAGTATTTTAAGTAACAATTTTATTAAGTTAGATTAATGCTTTTGATCTTCATTCCACTTTGATGGTTTACTTGGGGACAAACAGAATGAACATGCTATTTTCTTGAGAAAGGATTCCTTGCTGAACTTCATTACTACCTGAACTTTCTATTACATTACAATTTCACATCTATAACCAAATGTCTCCCAAAATTATCTGGACCCATACTTGAAATCACTTCTTGACCAGCTTCAGTAGTTGTATAATGGAGTCTTCAAACTCTGTTTATTAGGAACAAAATAAACCCTTAATAAAACAAAAAAGAAAAGAAAAAAAAAAAAACAATGCTCAAGCTCAAATCTCTCAATAACTTCTATTTCTATTTCTAAATGGCCTTTCTTTCTTCTATAATGTGAAGAATGATTAAAAGAACCCTGATTATTTTAGTCACAATAACCTGTTTTCTATCTCAGCCTCACACTATTTAGTGGGCTCTTTTCTTATGCCTAAATGAGAAATAAGTATAAACTGTCAGTTTCCAGACCTATTGATTTTTTTCATTCATTAACTAATGTTATCTTAGTTGGAATTATTATCTGTGAATTGATAATTTCAGAGGATAAAATAGGGAAAAATTGATCCTAGTTTTTTTCTACACTGAGTTCACTTTCAGTGGGTACATATGGATCTAATTTTTTTTTAAAAAGGAGGTAGATTGTCACAGAAAGTCATACAAACCCACAGATGCATTTATAATATGAAGAATAATATGTCCATATAAAAGAAAACTGCATATTACACTCTACATATATTCACTTTTGGACACATACACATGTGTGTAGAGCAGTGTGTATATTCATTTCTTGAATCAACAATTTAAAATTGACCTCCCAAATTCCTTCTCCAAAATTTGTCTTCATACACTTCCTCCAAGAATTCACATTTAGGCACCATCTGTTGAATCCAAACCCCGCACCTCAACCCTGAAAAACAAAAAGATTTCACAGCATAACCTGTGAATTGTAGCTTCCTCATTCTATTTACTGTTACTTGTTGTTTGTTTTTTCTCCCATAGGATTTGTGCATCTGGTTGGAGGACATGGACCTTGCTCTGGGCGAGTGGAAGTGAATTCTGGAGAAGGATGGATTCCAGTATCTGATGGGAATTTCACATTAGCCACAGCCCAGGTCATCTGTGCAGAGCTGGGGTGTGGCAAGGCTGCATCTGTCCTGGGGAACCTGCCCTTCAGAGAGAACAGTGAACAGATCTGGGCTGAAGAGTTCCAGTGTGAGGGGCAGGAGCCTGGCCTCTGGTTCTGCCCCAGAGTGCTCTGTCCTGCAGGCAGCTGCCCCCACAGAGGGGCTGTGCAAGTTGTCTGCTCAGGTGAGAATCACAGAGGGATGTTAACTGCCTTATACACTCTATGGAATTAAGAAAAATGTGTGATGTTGCTAAACCCTGTTTTCTACCAGGATATACAGATGTTCGGCTCATGAAAAATGGCAGCTCTCAGTGTGAGGGTCAAGTGGAGATAAAGACCTCTGGAGGCTGGAGAACACTCTGTGCCTCCCACTGGAATATGGCCAGTGCCAATGTTGTTTGTCATCAGCTGGGCTGTGGAGTCGCCATCTCCACCCCAAAGGGAGAGTACTTTGTGGAAGGAGGAGATGAGATCTGGAGAGACCGATTTCACTGCTCAGGGTCTGAGTCCTTCTTGTGGAATTGTCCTGTGAGTGCCCTGGGTGTTCCTGCCTGTGCCCATGGAAACACAGCCTCTGTGGTCTGCTCAGGTAAGAGAGGTCAGTGCTGACTGGTACTTGAGTGACATGTCTCTAAGAGGAGACAGCATGGAGAGCTGACTTCAAAAATTAGACATTTTTTGGTGAATTATGATTCTTAATGATCATTCATCTTTCAGCCCTGTCAAGAAATATTAAGAGGATTTGTTTTAAGTAAGAATTATAATTTATTGAAATTCATAGATAACACTATATAACAATGAATGACAGCTCTGTCACGTTCCTCACCCTGGACTATCAGAGAGTATCAGCAGCTCCCAGAAGTCACCCTCACATCCCTCTCTCTAGTCACTGTGCCCTCCTCCCCTCCAAAGAAGACCACTCTAACTTTTTTTTGCCAAGGAATTTTGTTTTTCAAGTTTTGAGCTTTATAGAAAATCATGCACCATGTTCTCTTTTTGGTGTACTTTGACTCACCATAACTCTTAGAATTTACCCATATTTCTATTTTTATCTTAGTGTCATTTTTATTGCTGTAGATTTTTCTGCCAAATAACCATAGGATCATATGTTGAACAATTCAAATGATTTGGAGATTTAAGTTGTTTGCACTTTTTGAGTACACAAATAATGATCCTACAAAGTACCATGTCAATATTGTTGCATGCAAATATGGATATATTTGTATATCTTTATTAATCTTTGTCCTATAATATGTCCCCTCTTTATATATGGTCTTCTTTCTGGAGTCAAATTCTTGCTCGTAATGAAGCATAGAATATCAACATTTGCTGCTCTCATAGTGTTCTAGTGTCATATTAAAAATAAATTTGCTATCATAAGATCATAAAAATATTCTTCAAGAGTATTTTATACCCATTTAGTTACCTTTCTTTACATATAGTTGCACAATCTTTCTGGAATTGGCATTGTATAAAGTGTGTGATGTAAAAAAGTTTCACATCATTGTTGGGATATCCAATTGACTCAGAATGATTACTGAAAAGACTTTTTCCCACTGCTGTGTCACCTTTGAAATACACAGGATTCCGATATTTCTGACTCTTGCTCTATGCTCTGTTCCATTTCATTCTGTCATTTTCTAGGCTTGTAGCCATGCATACCTCCTTAATTATCATAACTTTATAGCATGTCTGATTAACTTTTTTAAAGATTTCTTTAAAGTAACTGCTCTAATTGTGTTTTTTTTTTTTTCTGTCCAGTACATTGGTCATGCTTGGTCTTCTGCATTTCAAATAAATTTTACATACAACGTGATATATTTAATTCAACAATAGAATGATGGTCTTTAGATTGAGTTTAGATTTGACTTAAATATCTAATTGATGTACAAGCTAATTAATGTACAAGGTATATCTTTAATTTCCCTTAGAAATTAAATGTAACTTTCACTAGATATACTGCTGGTGTTTTATGCTTTTGATGTTATTTTATGAGTTTCTTTTAGTAAAATGTCCTAGGACATTTAATGTTTTATTTTGATTTTTTGTGCTGTGACAGAAAGGCCTAACAAGAACAATTTTAGGAGAAAAAATTATTTTGAAGCCGAAGTTTTCAGAGGTCTCAGTCCATAGATATCCTACTCCATTCCTTGTGGTTGGAGGTAAGGCAGAATATCATAGTGGAAGAGTGAAGCAGGGTAAAGGAGGTCAGAAGATGGCCGCCAAGAAGCAGAAATGAGGAGAGCTCTGCTCAACAAAGACAACATATAAATCCAAAATCATGCCAACAGGGACCCATCTCATCCAGCCACAACATATCTGACTATTGTCACCACCCAGTTAATACTATAAAAGGATTAATGTGATGATTAAGTTAAGATGTTCCTAACTCAATCATTTCACTTGTAAACTTTCTTTCATTGTCTCACACATAAGCTTTCCTGGGATACTCAGTATCTAAACACCACAACTAATTTTTGCATTCGCTTTTTTGGTGGCTTTATTTTTCTTTTTTCTATTTCATTTATTTTATTATTTTTCTTGATGATTTGAGAATTCTGAATAAGCTTCAAAGATAGCACAAATTTCCCAGATCACCCTAACCCTGATTCCCCAATGCTATTTTTTTCTGTAATATCCCTCTTTCTGCCACATTTTTCCCTGAATATGTAAAATATTTCTGACTGACTAGTTAAGAGTAGGTGAATAAGATATTTCCTTATTTTTGAAATACTATCAAGACTATTTACATAACCACAGTGTCATTGCCAATTTCCATAAAATAACCTGTTGGCTTCCACATATGATGGAGAATGTGTGGTACTTGTCTTTCTGTGTCTGGGTTATTGAACGTAACATAATGTCCTATGATTCCATCTATTTTGATGCAAAAGGCAAGGCRCCATTCCTTTTATGGTCATATTTATACCACATTTTCTTTATGAATTTCTCTTGCACTGGGCATCTGATTCCATACTATAGCTATTGTGAATAGTGCCCAATAAACATGGGAATGTACAATTGCTGTTTCACAGTAAATGTATTTTTCCTAGTTGCTATTGTTTTTTTAATGTATCTCTGCACCCCCCAAAAAATAGAAACACAAGTAAAAATATATTTCATTTTGCCCATAATTTCCAGAATCATAAATTTGGCAAGGGATCTTGGCAGTTGCCACTTGTGATCTCTCATGAGGTTGCACTTGGATCTTATCTGCAGCTGAGGTCATTGAAGACTTGACCAAGCTGGGAATCCAGAACAATTTATTCACATGACTAGTAGCTTCAAGTTCACCTGGGGTTGCTGACAGAACCACCTGCAAATGTTCTCTCCAACAAGATAGTCTCTACAGAGTAGATTTCCATTAAGCAAACATCCTACTAAGTCAGAGGAGGAGGCCTGACTTTCTTAGCAAGTTTCCTAAGTCAAGCTGTTCTGACTTTACCACATTCTGTTGCTTATAGACTTTATAGACAACTCACCACTGTCAGCCCAGATGGGAGGGCAGGAAGAATGGATAGCACAGGTCAATGAATAGAGTCACAGATTTTGTGGGTTATTTTCAAAAACTACAAGTGTGTTAAATATCTCACTTTATGTATTTTCTAATTTTATTTTTGAGCAATCTATTATGGTCTTAATACCTAAAATTTGTAGGAATGTTAGGTTCTCTCACCATCTCTCTTAGTATCCTATTATATTTCTTATGGTTTGTCTTTATGTTTTTGACTCTGTGTTTTCCCATGTTAATCCACTTAATTTTTTTCTATTTTGTGTTAATCTACAGTATTGTTAGACTCATCCTCTGGTTTCTTATTTTTAGCTACTGAGTATATAGGTTCATTTTACTTGGTTCTTTTTAGTTATACATCACTCACAAATATTTATTGGATTTTTGTCATTTTCTACAAAGATGCACCATCTCTATGACAAATATTCTTTTATAAAATATGATACAAGTTTCATCATTGTTTAAATATGATTACTCCCCTTTGTTTCAATGTAAATTTTACTTGTGTACTCCCAGGAAAAAATGGCAAACATGCTGAGATTTTCAGAGTGTCACCTACTACCTTTAAATGCCAAAATGCCTCCATGGAAAAATAGCTGAATATAGTTTTATTTTTCTCTGAACTTGACTCCTAAGTCTTGCTTCCCTGGGAGCTGTATTCACACTTTCCTAAAGTCATTCCTGGGACTTTAGTAGACTTACACGTCATTTAAGAGAGAAGTGTGTCTCAGAAGCAAAAGCAGAATCCTTGAATAGAAGATAGGAAGTTACTGATTGTGGGCTACAGCTTTCAGATGCCATCACTGGATTATTGTCAAGTTTAATTCAGTTTCCTGCTCTCTAATTCCATCTGTAGAAAACCAGACCCAGCTGCTGCCCCAGTGCAATGACTCCTGGTCTGACCCAGAAGGTTCTGCAGCCTCAGAGGGCCACACTGCCAACTGTTCAGGTGAGCAAGGCCCCCAGTACTGGAGCCTTCCCATTCCCTGTGTAAATGCCCACTGACATGACCCTGTCTCTCCTCAGACAGCAGACAGCTCCGCCTGGTGGATGGGGGAAGTCACTGCACAGGGAGAGTGGAGATCCTGCAGCAGGGCTCTTGGGGCTCCATCTGTGATGACAGCTGGGACCTGAGTGATGCCCATGTGGTGTGCAGACAGCTGGGCTGTGGAGTGGCCCTGGAGGCCACCATCTCTGCTCACTTTGGAGAGGGATCAGGGCCCATCTGGCTGGATGAGGTGAACTGCACAGGAGAGGAGGCCTACATGTGGCAGTGCCCTTCCCAGCACTGGGGGCAGCACAACTGCAGTCACAAGAACGATGCTGGGGTCATCTGCTCAGGTCTGTGATACATTCTGTACAGAGGCTGGAAGGGCCTGCAGGATGGTGTCTGAGCCCTAGGGCTGCTATTGGGTAGTTGCTGATAGGGCAAAGGAGAGGTGGTGCCTCTCAATATTCCTGTCCCTGCAGCAGAGGAGAAGATTAGGTGCTTTCATGTCCTGCTGCAGCAGCTGAGCTTCTGCTCCTTCTTTTTCAGCACTGTCCCCTGACACAGTCATTCTCTACAGTGTTCATTTAAAGCAGTCATCAGTCTTCTGTTATCTGCCAGTGAATCAACATCCTGACCCACTGAATTAGTCTTCTATTTCTTCTGTAACAACTTACCATAGACTGAGAGTCTTAAAACAATACAAATTTATCACCTTACAGTGTGTAGGTTAGAAGACTGACCTGGGTCTGTGTGGGCTATAAACAAGGTGTCAGCAGGCTGCAACAGCTGGAGCTCTGGGAAGACTCCTTTTCTTTCCTTTTTCCACTTTTATAAATTACCTGAATTCCTTGTATGACCCCTTCCTTCTTCAACCCAAATTGTTTCAACCCTCTTGTCATTCCATGTTCACATCACACTCTGGTGAGGGCCAGAATGGCTTATCTGTTTGTGAAGATACTGGTGTAAGGATGGCATTACATTAGAGAAATCCTATCCAGAATTATCCAGGATAATCTCACAATGAAAGCATACTTTTGTTAATTTTAATTTTTGTTTTTGTTTGTTATTTTGGTACGGGCTTTAATCAGGGGACTCAACCACTGAATCACAACCATGACACTTTTGTTTATTTTTTATTTTAAGACAGAGTCATATTAAGTTGAAGCCTCACTAAGTTTCTGAGGCTGGCTTTGCACATGAGATGCTCCTGCTTTAGCCTTCCAATCAACTTGGAATACAAGCATGTCCCATCTTGCCTAGAGAGAGGATTCTTTTCTTAATCTTGTTTGAAAAGCCCATTTGCAATGTGAGCTGAAATATTCACAGGCCCTCAGGATCAAGAAGTAGACATATTTGGAGCTCTACACTTCTACCACTCTGTTTCTACTCATTTTTTTTTTTTTTAGGATCTGTTAGATGGTTAGTCAGATAGCAGATAAAGAATTCACTTCCTGTAGAGTCCCCAGATCATTGTTCCTGCCTGTGCATTTGGTAATATTACATTGTTGTAGAAACAGAAAGAGAGGTACAAGTAGGCAAAACATGTTAAAGGGACAAAAATTCCAGTCGTCCACCTAGTGGGCATTTCCTCAGTAGAGTCAGCAATGAGCATTCACTACTAAGGAATAAAGAAGAAATAGCAGTAAGAGTTGAATGCTCACTAAGCCCTGTTTTCCTCCTTTCCATTTCAGAGTTCCTGGCTCTCAGGCTGGTGAGCAAGGACCAAAAGTGCTCTGGGTGGCTGGAGATTTTCTACAACAACACCTGGGGCAGTGTCTGCCACAGCCCTATGGAACCCATGACCTTATCCATGATCTGCAGACAGCTTGGCTGTGGAGACATTGGGACTCTGGATTTCCTGATTCCTCCCAGAGAAGGTTCTAGGCCTCACTGGGTAGATGGAATCCACTGTAGAGAAATTGATACCTCTCTTTGGCAGTGTCCTTCTGACCCCTGGAAACACCAATCTTGCTCTGCAAAGGAGGAAGCTCATATTACATGTACAGGTGACCTACTGTCTATTTTTATGTGTTTGTCCTATGCCTGCAGGTTGTTGTTAGGAAAGTTTTATATATTCAAATATAATGGATGAGTTGAAATAAATCTTCAGAATCAATACTGGATAGAGATTACTTTATCCAACTCTTGCAATCCTATTTCAAAGGCAGATATAAGAAAATCTTCAATGATAGCAATTTATTTGAAAAGTACCAGAGACTGAACTGAACATATGGGAGCATGAAGTTATGCTCTGATAAACATTCTTGGCAATTAGCTAATGCAGTTTCAGATTAAGTAAATTAATCTGTATTTCCTTAGTGAGAGAGTGAATGATTCCATCTCAGTAGTAGACATTGCTTACTGTGTGCTATCACCTTTACCCCACCCCACCACACCACAAATAATGTGGCTTAATCGTCACAATCAACTGATGATAGGTATCATGGTGATCACTTATTTCAGAGGAGGAAACTGAGGTTAGGAGTAAACACTTCATCTTCCTCAAACTTTTAAACCAGTGGGGAACAATTTGGGGAATCAAATATATTGGACTCTTAACTCTGAAATCCATCTACACCAGACAGACTACCTGTCAGTTTATTTTGTTGATGGAAAGTAATCAAATAGAAAGTACTTGTAGGTAGAAAAATAATTCCAGGCAGGAAGACAGATACAAGAAGAAAACAGTGCCCCTGTCCTCATGGAGTTTGCACTCCAGCCTGACTACACAACCATGCATAAGGTGCTATGGAAATGTGTGAGTTTGGAAAAAGAAAAAAAAAGATTTTGAGAACTTAAGGAGCACTAGAAGTTTAATGACAAAAGAAAGTAGAGGATTTATCAGTGTAAGTACTGACTTGGGAGGAGTACAGTGACCTTGAGATACCATGAGCAAAGGAGGAAGAGGGTGAGGAGAGTGTTGCATGATTACCTGGATGGGTAGGAAGAGCTCAAGGCCTCTCCAAAGCATAGCCCAAATAACAATCCTGTTGAAAAGCTGTTTGTTAATCTTCCCCTCTGCCACATCATGGGGAACTGCAGTGATACAAGGGGCCTGGTCTCCCCTTATTTTCTTCTTTGAATTCACCTCCTCACGAGCCCAGTGATCTTGGTTGATATTACCTCCTCTGAGCCTGTATCAATATGCTACTGCAACCCTCTCAGAAAACATTCCATGGGGCCTGTTGGAAATTGGAGCCTATCATCTTCTAATGTTTTTAAGACCTGTCATGTCCTGTTCAGTTTCTTGTTCTGATAAAAACCTGGCTGTCCTCTGAGAACAATGAATTTCTTGTCATTTGGAGGCTCTGAGCTTCCTTTTCAACATGCTTTTTATTCCTTTTCAAATCTTAGAATAAGTTTGTAATTATCCATTCTATTCTTAGAATATTTCTGCTGTGCCTTGTAATTTTTAATAAATTCTTTTATTTTTCTCCATATCCAGCTGTTTGATTTTGCCCATGAGGTGGTACCTGCCAGCACTTTTGGTGTCACTTTCCAGCTTGGTCACTCCCCTCATCCAGGAAGTCTGCAGTACCAGGGTCCTCTGTCTCCTCTGTCTCCTGTTCCTGGTGCTTCCAGGAACCTTGCACACAACTGAGATAACATCCTGGCCTCTCAATTATTGGCTTTCTCCCTCTGAAGCACTCCCCTTACATTATATCTTCATGTATGGCCACACTATTGACCATCACTAAGTGTCCAGCTTGAGATCTTGATTGCATTGTTCCCTCTCTAACTATTGCCTCTTCTCCTTATGGCACATATTCTTGATGCTCCTTTCCCAGATATTTCATCCTAATTCAGATTAAAAATGGTTTCCCTTATCAGCTTCCCAGTTTTCCACTCTCCTCAGGATTGCACATGTTCTTCTTACCCTGATTAGACAACATGGTGCTCCATTATAATCCTCCCCCTTCAAGTACACTCAATTCCCTGGTCTCTTCTTTATCTGTCAATGACAAGAATGGTTGTTTTAACTACCTAATTATATCACTCCATGCCCTCCTTGCCTGCCTGTACTGGACTAGGCAAGGACTGCTGAATCATGGACAAGTGTATCTTGTTATAATATGAAATTATCTTGCTATTCTCTTTGAATTTGAATCCAACCTCTGATGGACCATCCACACTGGCCCATATTCTAGTGTGCATCTCTCACATGTGCTTTTGCCCTTTCTGTAATATGTTATTTTACAAATTCTCAGATCTTCCACATGCTGATATTTTAACCCTACCATATACTTAAATGATGATCTTGCCTCAAACATCCCTGGAAAATAGAAACCTTCAGATGCCTACTTTGTTTTTTCCTCATACGGTCACTTTACCTTATTGGTTGTTCTTATTTTGTCTTACAGATTTTCAATTTCTCTTTGCCTATAATGTTTTTTTCTGGCCAGCTTGAATAATCTATAGTCACATCTTTCTCCCTTATTCATCTTGGAACTTTGTCAATTTACTGAGTTGATAATGTTTGATTCTTTCCTCCTTCTCATTTGTTTATCTGCTCTTCTAGTGAGATTTGTTCTTTCCTATACTCTCGTGGCTAGGTTGTCTTGCTTCCTACTCTGTGTGTGGGATAGCTTCACTATCGTCTACAGTGCAGGTTCAGGGGTTCAAAATTCCTTTAACTGATACTTATCTTCAAAAGACTTATTTTTCTTTGATTCTAAAGGATAACTTCACTGACCATAATCATGTAGTTCACAGCTGTTTTCTTTCAAGATCCTAAGTACATCACTTCCTGCCCTCCTGGCCTTTATTGTTTCTGCTTAGAAATCTGTTATGTGAGGATATTCTTAGTAAGCAGCCTTGTCTTAATGATGTCCCTTGAGGTGCTGCTGTCTTGTAGTGTTGAGATTAATTTAAAGTGGACATTGTAGGTTTTTTCTCTGTGGATTCTTTGGCTGGTAATAATGGATTTTGAAACTCTAGGTTTTGTGTCAGAGCACATCTTTCTCTGTAGTTCTCATATAAATGGAGTCCTTCTGGTAGTTCAGGTGTATTGTTATGGACAGCACAGTTTACAGGGCATTCTTCCTGTGGTATTACTTTTTAGTGTTGGTCTGAAGGGTATGGAAGCAACCTGTACTGAGGTCCTTCAAGGCACTTTTCCTCAACATTTGGATTATTTCTCTCTGGAGAAATAATTAATAATTAAGGTGGAGATTGTCCAGGAGCAGGAATTATGCCTACTTGTGGCTGGCTCTTTAACTGTGGATTTCTTTCTTCCCTTTTCATTAAGTTGAAATATCCACTAATGCTTCACCAGGACTAGGTCACAGCTCCATTAACGTAAAATTTCCCTGTATTGGCTAGAGTTAAGGATCTACCAAGCATCCTAGCCATGGTGAATCCCTGGAAAATAGTGTAGTCCCCAGAGATGTGACATGGGGAAGCTGTGAGTTTCCAGATGTTGTCTCTTAGCTCTCAGACCTGGTCCCTATGTGCAACCACATGTTCCTGGAGTTGTTATTCTTCACAGAGGGTGAGACCTCTTATCGATGAGACCTCCATCCTTCCCCTGTAATTCAATGCTCTCATATATGTTTGTGACAGGCACTCTTCTTATCTGAGACTGTAGAACATTAACTTCCACCCAATCACTGTGGCAGGGTGGCCCAGAGACATAAAACTGTGATTACCACATATTGTCTAAATCCCAGAGCAGTTTAGTTCCTAACAATGACCACTTCTTAAGATAGCTCCTGGTTATATAACTCTGAGAGTTTGCTGTGCAATGTGATGAATTTTTTTCTCCAAAGCTTGCTTATTGTACAGGAGTACTCCCTTTCAGAACAATGCCCCAAATTTGATCTAAAGCTTGTAAGAACCATGTGTTTCTCCTACAGGTAAGACACCATCTGGGTTGTCTGCATTTTCCAGCTTACTTTATGGTTGCAAGTTGCCTCCATCACCCAGGCAGCTGGAGATGAAGTTGTAAACTGCTTTGTACTTTCCTTGGCTGCCTTTCTGCTCTCAATGCAGTTTATCATGACGTCTTTATCAGCTCCTTTCTTTCTCTTCTCAAAATACAATTGTCCCTATGTTCCCTAAACTTTTTCACTCAGAGTTACAACAAAGGTATCTCTTTTCTTCTATTTACCTCTTTGCCAAAAACTCCAATTTTTGCATAATAACAACTCCTGGAATTCCAGCATAGATTTGAACGTGGGGGGGGGGAGTAACATTCTATGGGTGTTGAGCAATATCAATATCTGACATCATCATTTTTGAGAAGTTGTTCAATCCACCTAAAGTAAGTCAGGTTTTGACATCACATATCCAATCTGAACTCTTAAGCTTAGAATCATTAGTGAAATATTTGGAGACAAACCATGATCCATCCAYTTTCCCATCTTAATGACCAAATGGTTATGATTTCTCCTGGATTCATGGCTGTCCCCTGAAGTTTCTAATAATCTCATCCCAGTTTCTTACTCTACCCACTGTGTTCTGATCCTTCCATATATCAGGCCATTAGCACACAAGTGTGTGTACTCTATAAGAACCAATCAGATGCTGGCCTATTGACTTTTAGAAATGCTTCAGAAAAAGACACTTTTAACTACTCAAGGTAGGAAACCTGACATTTCTAGAATTGTGTTATCAGACCCTATGGAGAACTCTGCAAATAATAACTTTAACTCTAATAGGAGCCACATAATAATTTCTACCTGAGTCATCTAACTATATTATAATGTGTTTAATCTTTTTTACTTTTTTTTAAACATAATTGATTCTTCTACTTATTTTGGTAGGAATTGAAACTTAGCTGCTTCCCTGGTGTGAATGACTCCATGTCTTAAGAGAGAGCATGATTTTTTGAGGGGGGAATAGCATAGGACAAGAAAAACCTCCTCTTTTTCTTTGTAAATACACCCATTGACCTAATTACTTTCTCCTCAGAGACCCCAAAGCTCCGCCTGGTGAATGGTGGCAGTCGCTGTGCAGGCAGAGTGGAGATCCTTCACCAGCATTCCTGGGGCACTGTCAGCTCAACTGGGACCTGAAAGATGCCCTTGTGGTATGCAGACAAATGGGCTGTGGAGTTGCCATCGATGACATGTACTTTGCACAATTTGGGGAGGGATCAGGGCCCGTCTGGCTGAGCTGGCTGCAGTGCACAGGAGAGGAGGACCACGTGTGGAAGTGCCCATCTCAAGGCTGGGGACAGCAGAACTGTCCGCACATTCTGGACGCAGGTGTCATATGCTCAGGTAGGGTCTGCACATTCTCCACAGTATAAGATAATTGAAAGGACCAAAAGTGTTTATCTGATCTTGGGGAAATGAGAGACAGATGAGCCATGGAGTATTAAGAGGTCCCCATGAATGCTGGTTGCTCAAAACAACAGTATATGATGGGCTTTATTTAATTCTTTATTGTAAATCTCAGTGTCCTTTCTCTTCTCTGCAGTTATACTTGATGAGATAAGATTTCTTTATAGAATCATTCTACATAAAATCATCTTTATAATTCTGGTTCTATGATTTACTATTTGTAGGGTTACCTATAAATTACCATGCACATTCTCTTTTCAAAAGAGAGACAAGAATGGGGCTCACTTGTTTTCAGTTGAATTAAGTGTTTATATATGTGTAGCCAGAGATAGTTTTGCACTAGGTGAGTAGGTGTTTGGGCACAGGGATGGTATTAAACACATCACAGAGGAATTTATGGATTACTGCAAACTTGCAATTCTCCTTTCCAGATTCAGACATCAGAATTATCAACTCATTGGCAGGAAGGGCCAGAGAACTGTGAGTGAAATGCTCTGAGTCACAGATATTCCTTCCATTATTACTACAATAGATTCTCTATCTACATTTCTTTTTCAAAGGATTAAACTCATATTTGGAGGATGAATTTAGCTCTGTGCTGGCATATTAATTTTGGATGTAATAAAATATTAATGCATATATATTATAGTAAGATGTTACATAGTTTAGGACTAGAACGAGGACGGTTGTTCAGTGATCTCCCACAAATACACAATATCAATTGTTATTCACACACAAACTGGCTTCATAAGATAAATAACCTAGGTGAGTGCCTGCTTTTACTATGATAAAAAAGAAAAGACACATTGAAGAATGGACGAAAATAAGACTTGACCATTTCCCAACCTCAAGTAGCCCACCATGAAGGGAAATGCATCCTTGGGAAATGGAAAAGAAATTAAGCCCAGATCTTACACTTGAAACCCAGGATAGGCCTGCCATACCGAATCTTGGTACCCCAAAGAGCCCAACAATACTGTCCCCATACCAGTAACCTCACACTGAGTCTCTGTAACTGTCCTTAGTTGGGCAGCAAAGAAACTGTTTCCACTATAATTATTCCAATCTGTAGCAGAAGAGGAGAAAGCAAGACTCTAAGGATCAGGCAGAGTGATGGCATAGGACTTTGTCTTGGAATTCAGTGCCAGACCCACCATGATCATACCCAGCACCAAGTAAGAATTAGAGGTCTCAAATGTAGAAGGGAGGTAACAGAGTAAGACCCGTGTGCTGGTGGGACAGACTCAAGAAGAGCCTGTAGCACCTGTGGCTGGTTGCAAGAATGTGGGGCCTTGAGTCCACCTCAGCAGTGGCAGCTCCTAACATTGAAGGCCTTGGTCCCTCCCAAGTTCTGTGTTGCCTTGGCAGGCTGGCTTCAAGGTGTGATATACAATTGCAGAATTGGTGGTCACAAGACTACCTACTTCATTTCTCCTCAGCCCCCAGAAGCATAACATGGAGAGAGTTAAGTCTTTGCATGAAAGTGAAAAGTTAGTTCAGCAGTTGTGACTGGGAGCCTCAGCTTCTTATCCATATAAATTATAATACAGCTCCTAAAGAAGAAGGACAAAGACTCTCAGGAATCAAGAAAAAGAAAGAAATAACACATAAGCATGTCCCAATTCACCTGATGGCACACTTCTCAACAGTAAACATATAGCTCAGAAGTGAGTGCCATGAGATTTTCATAGAACTGAAAAAAACTAGCCAATCAATAATACTGAATCCATAAAATCTATCATTTAGAAATAATGGAGATTAAAAGACATTATCAAACATCCAATTCCCCCAAATTGCCATATGTTACAATATCCCAATGCTGAACATATGTTCAAAGAAGTGAAATCTGTATGTTAAAGAGATATCTGTACTCCCATGTTTATGACAGCACTATATATTGTAGCTAAGAAATGGAAATAACTTAAATGCCCAGCTGATCAATGGATAAATAAATGAAATACAATGGAATACTATTTAGCCATAAAAATGAATTAAATACTTTCATTTGACATAATATGCATGGGTTAGGAGATAATTAGGTTAAATGAAATAAGTCAGGTAAAGAAAGACAAGTATCTTATAATCTCACTGTATGTCAAATATAAAAGAGTTGACCTCATAGAGGTTGAGAGTAGAATTGTGGTTACCATAGCCTAGAGAGTGTAGAGAATGGGAATGGAAGACAACAGACTGATCAATGAATAATGGGTTTTACTTAAGTAGGAACAAGAAGTTCTGGTGCACCATGGCACAGTAGGATGACTATAGAAAACAATAATAAACTACATTTCAAAAAGCTAGAAGAAAGTGTTTTGGAAGCTTTCACCAAAAAGAAATGAAAAGTTTTTGAAGAGACAAAGAAATGCAATGCATACATACATCAGCACGTGAATTTACTCAATTCATATGTACACTATGTCAGTACATTTCAGTTAAAATACATTTACTTAGATGAAAAATGAAGGAAAACAAAAGTGACAAGAAATGGGGAAAATTATATTKTTTATATATGATGGAAACAATAATATAAGAAAAGTATATTGGCAGATAAATTTGATAAGAATGGGACAGGAAGACAAATAGAATTTTCTGAAATACAGCAGAAGCTTACAGGATCTGGGGGATGGACTTCAAAGGTTGGCAAAGAGCACATAAGGATTTCCTCAGCAGCACTGAAGACCCTGGTGTAGGAAGGGCAATTGGTGTACATTGTGTGAACTCAGTACACCCCTCCTGCACAAAAGGAGGAAAATGATTTGCAAGAGTGATTCAAAGATGAGGTATTGAGAAGGTCAGAATAGAGGAAGAAAAGGTCCATTGGTTGATACTTTCATAAGAAACACGAAAAAGGCCCAGGAGAACAATATGTCTATGGAGCAAAAGATCAGACAAGGATATAAATGGATGCAATTTTTTAATTTACTCAAGTGAGAATTATTCATATGAATCAATAGATTTCTGCAGATGCAAGTTTTCTTCTTTTTTCCAGTGCCTCACAAACATCAAATGACTTAAAACTGGTTTTCTCTCCACTGGATGTAAACCTCTACAGAGATGATGACATTGTTTTCTTTAAATATACATACCCAGCACCTAGAAACACATCTGGAAATTGACAAATTCTGAAAACATACTAGTGTTATGAATAACAAAACAGGGATGCAGACTCTCAATATCGTCTTTGTACACCGCTCTCCTATATCAGGACTTGGAAGAAAGTTCATATTGTGTCTCATTTGAAGACCTATCTGCTGCATTTTTATCCTATCCCGGTTGGAGGCATTTTTACACATACTGAATAAATTCCACTTTGATGATTTACTTTGAAAAGAAAAATTACTGAACATGTTGTTTTCCAGAGAAAGGATTCCCTTCTTCAGGATATCAACCTACTCTTACATTACAATTGTGTATCTGTTGTCAGATGTCTCCCCAAAGGTCTGAATGGACATTCAAAATCACTCCCTGATCAACTTCAATAAATGTCTAATGGCTTCTTCCAACTCTACTTGTTAGTAACTGAATGATTCTTTGAAACAAAACAAAAAGGCAAAGGAGCATGTTCAAATCTCTTGACAACTTCTGATCCTACTTCTTTTGGGGAGGTACTAGGGATTGAATTCAAGGGCACTCAATCACTGAGCCACATCCCCAGCTCTTTTTTGTATTTTATTTAGAAGGCAGCAGACTGATCAGTGAGTTGCTTAGCACCTTACCATTACCGAGGCTGCTTTGAACTCGAGATCCTCCTGGCTCAGCCCCCAGTGCCACTGGGATTATAGGCGTACACCACCTTGTCCAGCTTATCCTACTTCTAAATTCTGTTTTCTTTAATGAGAAGGATGTGTAAAGAAGCCAGATTATTTTAGTCACCATAACCTACTTTCCATCTCTGTCTCACACTATTTAGTTGGATCTTTTCTCATCTCTAAATGGGATATTAATATAAATTGTCATTTTTGATACATTTGAATTTTTCCATTCTTTAACAAATGTTAACTTAGTTGTAATGACTATTTGTGAAGTGAAAATTTCTGAGGATAAAAGATTGAAAAAGTAATTCTACTCTTTTTCTACTCTGAGTTCAAGTTCAGGGGATTGGGCTTATTAAAAAGGAGGTAGACTGCCACAGACAGACAGGCAAACACACAGGTATATTTTAATACATAGAATAATATGTTCATATTATATAAAATATATGTATACATATGAATATATATATACACATATATGTATATATATATGTATATGTATGTGTATGTATATATATATATATATATATATATATATATATATATATATATATATTTTCTGGAGTCAGCCATTTAGAACTGAACTTACAAATTCCTTCCTCCTAAAGTTGTCTTCAGACACTTCATGGAATCTCTATTCTGACACCATTGAATCCATTCCCCACTCCCATTACTGGGGAAGGAAAAGATTCCACAGCTTTCCTGAGACATGGAGGTCCCAATTCCAACCCTAGACACCCATTGTACTGGTTATGTTCTTCCACAGGATTTTGCGTTTGGATGGAGGAGGTGGACCCTGCTCTGGGCGAGTGGAAGTGAATTCTGGAGGAGGATGGACTCCAGTATCTGATGGGAATTTCACATTACCCACTGCCCAGGTCATCTGTGCAGAGCTGGGGTGTGGCAAGGCAGCATCTTTTCTCTTGGACCTGCCCCTCAGAGAGGCCAGTGAACAGGTCTGGGCTGAAGAGTTCCAGT